TTCGGTCATGGCCTCCAAGATCAGACTGGCTGGAAGGTCGGGGCCAAGTACTTTGCGGAGGTGTACACCCAATGCACTGTGCTCAGGGTGCAAAAAGATCAAGAGGTCCGGAAAGTGTTGGTGCAGTAGCTCTGCCAGTGCTGCCACCTGGTCCACCTGTGTTGCCTTCGATAGCTGCTGCTGCAACGTCGATAGTCGTTCCTTCTCTTCATCAAGGCTGGCTTGTATACCAGCTCGCATGTCGTCTGACACAAAAGCCAAGAATGCTGTGGTTGCCTGAATTTTCTTCTGCAGCTCGGCCACCTCCTCATAAATGGATACAACTTGATCTGCGCTGCTCTGCGTGATGTCGCTTGCATATTCTTTGCATAAGGTCACCACGGAGAGCGTCTTGGCCTGCCAGTCGATCATATCGTGCAGCTGCTGCAACAGGGCTTGTGTCTCGTGCAGCACAAACGCCAGGTACCAGTCCTGATGCTCATAATCGTGTTCTGCTCTCCAGTCTGCGAGCTGCTCCAGCCCATTCTGTTTGGGCGAGCTGAGACGTTCGTGAGCCTGGCACAGCTGCTCCCACGCCTCGGGTAACGACTTGGCCGAAAGTGATGCGTTCACATCCGAGCATTGTGCGCGTTGCCGTAACGTGTCCACGCGATGCATTGTGTCAGTGTCGGTGCTCCCGCCCTTGCCACGGCGTCCAGAGCATCAATCAATGCCAGGATTTGCCGCTTAATATTGGTATTGGTGCTGGTAAGCCGTTCTTGGCGCTCGGGTTCCACATTGTGCAGCATGACGAGTTTGTCCAGAGCTGCTGCAAAGTCGGTGGGTGGCGTCTCAAACGCAGTCGTGGGCGCGGTGGCTGGAGCGGGACATTTTGCCAAGATGTTCTGGAGTTCAAGATATACTGGTTGGAGCTCAATCTGCTCTGTTAGACTTTGCATCTTTTCAAGTACCGATTCTAGATTGTCAATGTTGGGGTCCAGCTGGCTGAGGCAGCCCTGTAGCGCTTCGGGAACTTGCACTGCTTGGTCGAGGACGCCGAGGGCGCGGGTGATGGTCGCTTTGAAGGCAGGCCAGTTCAAGGCAGGAAACTCTGGTGGAGCTTCATCGATGGTGTTCTGGATCTTCGTAAC